GTCTGAATCGCAGACGCGCGGCAGGCCCCGGGCCCCGCACGCGCGCGCGTCTGTCTGTCTGTTAGTGTGCTGTGGGCGTAAGTATATACACGTCATGCGAGAGTGAGTCACTGGACGTTTGACAACTACTGGGCCAATAGAAGTCTACGGCACCTGTGATTGGCTGGCCCAGAAGGAGGTAGAGTAGCGAAGTCACGTGTGCTTTGCGGGCTTGGCGGTAGCGCTACATGTCCACTAGTCTCGATTATCCTTCTCGCTGTCAAGAGAGCTTGGCTGACAGCTGCTGATGCATTACGAAACCACATCGACTGAGCTTACTGCTGACGCAGGAGGATACACGCAGACCGAGGTCTCAGTTTGCTCCGCTTCTCCACTGCTATTGGACAGATTTATATTTAATAATCGGCAAAACCTCGTCAAATGCTTGGCTGTACCGCGATCCCCTTCTACTTAACCATACTTTCTTGTCCGTGGAAGAACGCTAATTTTACGTTTCGTTACATAATTTTTATTGCAGATGGTAGATATGACGTATCATCGGTGGCAATAGTACTTTGGGAGGCTTTCAAGAAGTAGCAAAAAGAGGGACACCTACCTGAGGTAGCGACATCTGCAATCCCGACGCCCCGAGAAACGGCCATGAAGCCAAGAGTGGAAAAGACCACGAAACCAGCATAGATTGAGGTGGCACAGTTGATGCAGGCCACTATAATAGCATCTCTAAAAGAGAGTACGTGCAATTTTCTGAAAAACGATCTACACAATGAAACATAATAAACGAAAGTGTATGTCTCGCAAAAGATTGAACTCAAGCTCACGGAGCTTAAATACGGAGAAAATCCAAAACGTTAGCGTTACAGAGCTGCGCTATGTACCAGAAAGGACATAGGCACTTGTGACTGATCCATACTCACGCTATCTTATCGTGTCTCCCTTGCGCGCGTCCTTGATATTATGGCGTGCGGCCTCGGCGCCGTGTCCTGCGTCATTGGCGTGGTAGCCTGTGTGCTTGAACAGGAACTGGGCTCAAGACGCACGTCCGAGGACGCAGGACATGGCGCCAAGATCGCACGCCATAATATAAAGGACGCGCGCAGGGGAGACAAGGAGTGAGGATGGACCAATCACAAGTGCCATCCCCATCCCCATTTGCGCGTAGCCAACCTTTTCTCATTTTCTCTGACGATGGCCTCTCCTGTGAAGCCGAAAGCTCAGAACATTAAAATCGCAATTCCAGAGATCGCGTCTTTTTCTTCTTGACAATAGGAACCTGGAGCACGCATATATGCTTCTGTATTAAATTCTAATCAATATTTCTGCTAAAGTGCTCATTTCATATATTGAGTAATAGGTAATTCAGCCGTACAAAAAACCAGCATGTCTCTTACAGATACAGGCATCGGTACCATATGTTGCGATTCCTGGAAATTTCAACAAGTCTCAACAACTCCCCATTT